CGGGGGGGGGGGGGGCACTAGTGGCGAGAGAGAGAAAGAGTGACGGAGTCGGAGCCACTGAATAGGGCAGGAACACATGTAACGTGAACGACAATTATTTACTACGTATGATGTACCACCCACCCCCCGGTTTCGCAATTCCTGTCACTCCTTCTACACCATTTTCCTAATGAAATGAACTCAAGCAAACGAGAACCGTGTTAAGGTACTGGTGAAATCTGTTCTCTGGCCAAAATGTAGTCTTAGTTCTATGGTGTGTTCTTTCCCTCTCGAGATAGACAACGAGTGCTGAGAGACACGATTGTTGAATGTGAGTTTTGTGAAAACAAATATGGGTTGGTTCTGCCATCGTAAAACTATCAATACATGATAAAATGATCAATGGCCTTGATTTTGACGTGGTATAATGGCGGAGGACAGAGTAGCTTGCTATCATAAAGATTGGGTGACAGTCACAGAGTTCTAGCTGCAAACTTCAGAGACCGGAGTGTATCAATGTTTGCGGTATTTGCTTGGACAGTTACTGCTCGAGAGAAAATCAAGGGTACTTAGATCAAGAATTGGTGTAAGTATACGAAAAACCTGGCCAATGGATAAGGTCGTGTAAAAAGTTTTGACCTGTAAGTTCACTGAACTAGCTGAGAGTCTAAAAAATTATGGGATAATACCGAGCTTTTCGTAAGTGGTGCAGCTTGCACATTCCTCAGCTCTTCCTTCCAACCATAAACTTTAAAGCAACAAACTCGAGTTTCACCCTTATTAGAGCTCATCAGTAGTGCATATCCACCGTCCCGTCCGAGATTTGAACTCCGGACTCATCGCATAGAGGGCGTATGTTGGCACGGTGGTAACACATGCCTTTCATGCAATGGATCCAGAATTTAAATCCTCGATAAGACGGTGGCTATGCACTACTGATGAACTCTAATGAGGACGAAACTCGAGTCTGTTGCTTTCGAGTGTATGGTTGACTGGAAGAACTGAGGATTGTGCTTGAAGGAGAAGTCCGAGGGATAATCAGTTCAAATCAATATCAATTATCCCACAACACCACTTACAAGAAATTGTGAGTTAAATGCGAGCTAATGAATTGCAACTCTGTGGTAACTTGCAAATTCGTTTATCATGACTGATACTTGCTGCTGTTACGATGCTGTTCTCTGGGTTCTCTATAAATCGGAGATGCAAGTCTTTGGTGATATTCCATGTCTTATGGTCGAACACTTCCCGGATAGCGAAATTTGATACCTCTTGCTATTTTACTCGTATCAGTCATGTGTGCTTCGATCAGTCGATTCTAGCTTACCCTTATCGATGTAGTGTTTTAATCATATCGATCATCGTCATCGTCTTTGCTGTTTCGCGATTTGTGACACGTGACCTTTTATATAGTTTTCTTTTATCGCTCTTGTTTCTCTCTTTCTTTCTCTTGAATACCCTGTCATCGTTTGTCACGGTTTGCTGCAGTACACAGTGTCTCGTTGTTAAGACTAAACGGTATTGCTATTTCTCTTGAGGTATCGTAATGGATAAGGGTATTTCGCCCACATCAATTCAGGCATCAGGCATCTTCAACTAGCTTCCATTTGTCTAATGCGCCCCAGTTAACTGCCTGCTCCACCGTACCCCCCCCCACCCCACCCCTAACTCCCCTTGTACACACATCTGCCCATCCTGGTGCGAAATAATAAACACTTCGTCAGTGAGGAGTAGTATGCTCATTCTGGTGGCTTGGTCATGAAATTTGTCCTACAAATACACACCTGTATACAATATAACGCTCTACAGCGTCTTCCTGTTTTGTGGAATACAATCTACACCACGCACTACATGAGCGTGTACAGATCCAACCCGCAAATACAACCATTTTCATTGTGTCAAACAAAACACAAATTTTCCATTTGTTGCGTTTCTCTTGGGCATTAATCCGTTCTTTCTCTCTCTCTCTCGCTGTCGTTTTTCAGACCGGGCTTTGTTCTTTGGCCATCACGGACACTATCCGGGCTGTCCTGCGAGGTCAAGATGGATGCATTCTGACCATCGGACACAAAAGAACAGGTAAGCACTGGATACCGGAGCGGTTTAACTATTTTCTCACGTAGTAGTAGTTTTAGTTGTTATTTTTGTTGTTCTGTTTTAGTTATCCATATTCTAACCGATTAGGTTTTGTCGTTTCTTTGTTTATTCACATTGAAACCCTGGTAACCAAAATGGCTGAATGGTAGCAAACAAACTGATTCACTGTTGTACGTGATCAGTGACCAATCGAACAATCATGATGTGGATGACAACAACAACAGCAACCAGAATGGGGATTAAAAAGAAAACCAGTGCCACATTCGATAGTTGTTGGGTGTATAGAAAAGAAAGACACTCCCCGTCCATCGTCTCATTCACCTACGAGGAGTCAAATTTAGGACACCCTTGGGAAGATTTGTGAGAAGCAGTTCACCCGAGACCCGTTTATCGGGTGTTCATATTAATGTCACATGTATATTCTAGTCACCACGGTTATTCGAAGCCGTCCCATCGAGAATTAGTCAGAATTCCAGGAGAAATAATCAGCAACTTGAGTCTGAACAGTAGTAAAACGAAATTTTGAAACCATATATATATATACATATATATATATATTCGTCACAACAACCTTGTTTGAAACACTGGGTGATCATTGGATAAACAGCTCTTTCAGAGCCAGTCCATTGAAGAATCAATTTTTGTCCAATCATTCACATACTACTTATAGTGAAAGATATATATATATGTATGTGTGTGTGTGTGAACGAATTGTCAACAGATTAGCAGATACGCACGCATAATGAGCCGCTAGAACCGCGCAATCGGTCGTTTTCTTTCAGGGATATTTTGTTAAGTCATTCATTTGTCACCTACTAAAAACTATTTCATGGAGACGCTAAAGTTAGTTTAGTCGCGTCTAACCCGGCTACAGAACATTGAATCGTACTATTGGTTTCCAAATGGACTGCTTCCGAAAGGTCTCTCCAAACAAATATATTTTATTCAAAAATTAATAAGTAAAAACTTGCATTCAACATCATGACTATCATCGACAATCTTCCTTCCTCTCTCTCTGTCTCTGTCAAACGTTTTGAGCCTCCTGTTCGGACATGTGTATGGCACTACCCGACATCAAAGACAACAGTTTCATTAAAACATCCTTTTGCATTTTCACTTCTTCCAGTCTATTGCCTTATAAACGTACGACTTCTTGATTTAGATGACGAATGAAGGTGCATCAATTAGAAGATCACCGAGCATCAGTAGAACAAATCCTAGTAATATATTTATTGGAATGTCGGATAAGCATGATATCACTATGGGAGTATATTTTTAATTCCTTCATGAAAAAACATTTTTGAGTGATCAATCAGTAGTCACACGATTTTTCAATTCAGTTATATTGTTCAGTTATCGTTTGTCTAATTGGCATTGTGTGATAAAAGATAGGCCAATTAGAAGGTTTGAATTGATCCCAATGAGAGCATTCCCTTGAAAGCATGAACTTTCGTGCCGCATTAAACACAAAATAATTCTATCACTTTGAGCCGCAACTTCTGAACTCTTTTGAAGTTTATTCTGATACCCAAGGCAATTCCGGTTCAAATAGTGATACATGAGAGTCAAGAACTTCGTAGTAGGCGATTAGATTAGGAATAAATGCGGCTATCGATATGCAAGCGTTTGAGGACCACGTCGCACACCTGTCTACGCATATCTCACCATGCTTGACAGTATCACAGTATCGAACACTATCACCTGACACTGACCTTCCCAATCCCAATTCCCTTCTTGATACGTATGTAACAAATGATCACAGGTAAATCCTATACTATGTTTGGCTCCGATCGATCCATGGACGGTATTGGGGTTATCCCGTGCGCAATCGCGTGGCTATTTCAATTGCTCAGTCGACAGCGTGATTCAGAGGGGATCCGGTTCTCTGTTCGTGTCTCAGCTGTGGAAATCTACGGGACTGAGGAACGATTTCAAGATTTACTGTCCGATGCTGCACTCACAATGGGTATGTGCAAACGTGCATGCATATTGCACTCCAAAAGTATGGGTACACTCGATCCCTATTTTATTCACCTTCAACAATCAGAATACCAAAGTGGCCTTTTTTTATCCAGCTGTTACCGAAGTCACACGGCGAATCAGTTAAGATGAACGCATTTAACGTTTAAGTTAATATGAAAAAATATTATTCACCAATACCAGTTCGATAACCGCGATTGAACACAGTACACGTCTATTTTACTCTGAATCGTCATTAAACGTACTTTGTGTCCTGTTGACCACTGTTTTGCTAGCTGCATCGCTAATGTCATCCCATTCTGAGACGGACAGGGTGCGTTCAGTATACCAAGGTTACCATAATTCTGAACACTTTGAGACTCAACATTAAATTGTCTTTTATTGAACTTCTTCAGACAAGCTTTGCTTTTACCGTCACATCATTGATTGTTTTTTGTGGATTCCGATCAGATACTTCGATGCTTTATTCTTACTGTCAAAAAGCCTCAAGTATCCACATTTTTAACAGGTTTCCTTCCGAGTACCGGCGGTCATTTGATCATACTGAACTGCTGTGTTAGAGTGTCACTTGAGCATGGCATAGCGAATTCACAACTCTCTGAATACGAGCACCTTCTCTTTCTCCACTTGATACAAGTTTACCTCCTACCCCCGGTTCCACGGTATCCCTCTGAACACAGAAAACACGACAAACTGTCTCTTCATGTCCAAACCTCTCATTTATAAAGCCATCAACTACGTGTTGATAGGCTCAAGAATACACAGCAAAATACAGGTGAACACCTGGTCGAACTTAACACTTCACGACAAAACACCTGAGAACAACGCACCGCTCGCGGAATCCTTACATACAGTCGAACTGACGTTACAAGTTTATTGAACTTTATTTTGATACATTTGTCGAATAAATTTCGGCTGTTCAGTTTTATGCCAAATTCTCCTGTGGCTGCTGATATGGAATGTCTTCGGGTTTTGCTTCATAAATAATGAACTGTGTATTTATAAACAGATTATTATTGATACCATCACAATGATGAGATATTGTCTCACGAAATGCATATTCTGGTGATGTGCTATCACACGTAGATAATAGCTAAAAGATACTTATCCAATATATACGAAGAAGCTTGATTTTGGCTACTCGTTATTTTTATTTCAGGAGATGATATCAGCTTGGAAACATATCCACCCAGTCACTATTTAGCCTCCACTAATAAACCGCGATCGTCCCAGGGAGATTCCAGTCGTTCTGACGGTGACTCAGTCGCAACCTGTACTGTGGCTGCGTTGACCAAGCGAAGCGAATTACGCGCGTCCAGCGCGGATAAAGCCGCACATTTGCTCGATGTGGCATTGGCACATCGAGCGTGTGTTCGGGATCGGAATCAGTCCAGTGGATTGTCGCACATGTTGTTCACCCTGCATATATATCAATGTCGTGTTGAACAGAACGAGCATGGAACTTCTGGTGAGTCTGCTTGCTTGCCTACCCGTCGCTGTCTCTCTGTTTGTCTGTCTGTCTGTCTGTCTGTCTGTCTGTCTGTCTGTCTGTCTGTCTGTCTGTCTCTCTCTCTCTCTCTCTCTCTCTCTCTCTCCGGTCCGTGTAACCTTGTTATTGGGAACCGAATCCCATTACCATTTACGGTCGACTGCAGTAATTTAAGATTATCGTGTTTGATTTGACAGCCACCAAGCGCTTCTCACGGTGTGCTACGACATTCAAATTACGTGCAACGCTCCTGAGGAATCAAAAATACCCAACGATGTAAAACCCATACAAGAAAATCCGACAGTGTCCGCCACCTGTGAAGTCAAATTATATATTTCTTCATCGGTCTGTAACCGCAGGTTGTGATGAAGTTAATGAGGGACGTGACCGATGTTTGTTCAAAACGAAGGGCGCCAAGTGACGGATACTAATCTAATTTTGAGTTTCGAAGAGAAAAGAAAACAGTTTAAAAGTTGCTTCCAATGGTCGTAAAGATTTGCTGGTCTGACCTGGGTTAGTTAATTGTAAGTGTAGAAGAAAGAACGGGGCAGAGGTATCACTTCAATACATTCTGTACTTGATGAGTTTGCCGTAGCACTAACGTAAGAAATTTAAGATCGAACACTGTATTACATCGTTAGCTGTCGCTCCTCCTGTCTTTTAAATTTCTAATGTGTATCACCCTTGAAGAGTTTAGCAACTAATAACAGCAGTTCGTCAAATCGGATAGCTGAATAGATCGGACGAAGTCACAATCCATTGCTGGATCATGGACAGCTCCGAGCGGGAATTGATTGTGGAGTTCGTCAACCTTGAGACCACGGTATTTTCACACCGGTTAAATCTCGTTTGATCGTCCCTCAGAGCCCAACAAGCACATGTTATTTCATTGCCTGTATCCGACCGGTAGTGTGAAAAACGCAGCACGGAGTCCCTGACAATACAGTACATGAAATGGGGTTGTGAATAAAAATTAGATAAAACACTGACCTTCGGTAATCCGATAACGGGAACCAGTGAAGTATCGGTTATGAGTTGACTATTCCGGGGTCCCAAAAGATATTCTATAAACGAGAATCATATCAACTAATCAACTGAAGACTTTAGTTTCGATTTGTTTGTTACCACGAGTTCATTTCTACGATTGCCTCGTAAACGTGAGATAGCTGAGAATGTGACTTGAACTGACAGTGTGATCTTTTTTGCGTAGAACGAAGACGAGAGAAATTCACCTAATCGTTGCTCAGTGTTAACTCTTATCGATGAGAGAAGGAATCGAATCCTGAAGTATCCATTTTTGCAGGACATAAGCTTTATATGTACACACATGATAAGTCTGTTATTCAATGCGACTAACCTTTTCCATACACGCAAAACCCTAACCAACCGTGCGTGGTAAGACGCAACGAATTGTTTCCCTTCACTATGAGCCATCAAATAAGCAAAATCGGGCGACCCACGTGACCTAATGGCACCAATATTGATCAATGGAGCCTCGTTCTATTCTTTCAAGTGTGACCGCTCCGAACTGGTTTACAAGACCTAATTAAGACAGAGTAACTGTTTGACGCAGTTCGAACGCCGGTACGCGCATTCATCATGTGACTGACTATTAGTCATTCTCAACGTGAACGCCCACTAATCACTATAGCCCAATCGCCGGGATGGAACGTAAAATGTTTCCGGATTTTGAAATTCGATGATTCTCGATCAAACGGAGTGAATGAGAATTGGATTGTCGAGTATGTAGTAGACACACATACGAACACACATACACATCGGATTGCA